TCAATCAATATGGCCACAAATGGCATACGGTGCTTTATAAAGGGAAAACCCTAGGAAAATTTGGAAAAAAAGTAAAAATAATAAGAAAATTTTTTTTTTTTCTGAAAATGGAAAAAATCAAAATAATGGTTAAAATTGAAAGTCCTAATCTTAAGGATTATCTTCCAACAAAAGGGATTCAAACCCAACTTAAATTGATTGAGATATAACCAAAACAAAAATTATCAAAAATGGAAAAAACGCATAAACGAAAGCCTAAAGGAAAGAATTTGCCCAAAATTGGGCTACATCAGGAGCAAAGCGTTTGCTCCTAAGCCTTGTTCATTGGTTTGTTTTCAATCAAATTTGACTAAAATTTCGTCAAAATGGATAATCCCAAAATTTCTCCAAAAACCTCGAAGTTGCCCTTTTTGCTTGCGCCATTCCCACTTTTTCATAAAGTCTAATTCCTTTTGCACCACATCATTTTCTTCCTTGCACTTGAGCTTGAGAAGAAATCAATGGTCCTATTCAACGAAGACGAAGCACCAAGTCTCAACTCCAAACTTGATAAAGTGCATAAGAGATTAGAGTTTATGATGAAATGGGACCGTCGCAAGGCAAAATAATGGTTTTTGATTTCATGATAACTTCGAGTTTGTTCGTTTTTGACGAATTGTTAGTCTAATTCGATTGGAATTGAGCCAATGAATAAAACACAGGCCTTTGGCCCTGATGCAAGACTAATGTTGGGCAAAATCCATCGTTTATGCCCTCGTTTAGGCGTTTTTGCTATTTACGGTAATTTTTGTTTTTGCAATATCTTTTTCCATAAAATTCGGATTTGTATTCCGTTTGTTGGAGGATGATCCTGAAAATAAGGATTTTCCATCTTAGTAGTTATCTGATATTTTTTTATTTTTTGGAAAAATATTTTTTTATTCTATTTTTCGAATTTTGCTAGATTTTTTTTTCTATTTAAGGCGTTGTAATTCATTTGAGGCAGCAGTTCTTAAATTCAATAAAAATTTTCTTGAGAGTTTTCTCATTTTATAATTGTTCATCTTCCCTATAATCTTCCACTACGTCAAAACTTTATTCTCTTCTTCAAGAATTTTGTTTCCTTTTATCCTTCAAGGTTTCTAAAATTGTGTGTGTAGGGAAGCGGCATTGTCCTTTCATGTTTATCAAGGAAGGGAGATTGAAAGATCAGGTGAAGAGATCATACAGTAGCAACGAAAGTTTTTGTCTAGATTTAATAGAATTTAGATGAAGAAAATTGCTTGATGTTATTATTAATTAAAAGAACGAGAATATATCCCACGTCGAAAATTGAGTGAATTAAAACCCCTAATTATATATATGTAACCAAGGGCAATAAAATTGAAAAATGAAAATGGATACATAAGAACAACAAGATTTATGGAGGTTCGTCTCTACATACAAACTTTGCGTAGTGATAATAAGTAGACTCCACAACTTTAAATTAACAACTCGCATTTTAAGATGTAATTTAGTACAATTCTCCTAGTTGCACTCTAAACTAGACATTGCTAGCTGCAAGGGCGATTTAGAGGTGCGCAGGTATGTATCATTATCCAGAGCTAAAAAGACTTAAAACTTTTCGGGATTTTAATCAGCGGTGCCTTAACATGGTAGTGACGAGGTGATCATACATCCACTGCTTGTGTTGCTCTATGTGGCAGGCAACAATCTACTTGTTCATTAAAGGATCTTTAATGGTCAAAAGCGATGATTGTGCACGAAAATTGGATGCATTGATAGAAATTGATTGTTCCGATGTGTACACCAGGGTCGTGGACCATGGCGAAAGGATTGCGAAACTTTGTATATTAGAAGATAGACAACCATTTATCTTGTTAATTACCAGTTCAAAGAGCAAATTTGTCTTCCATTCACTTGACCTCCTCAAGTTTATTCGATTTTTATTTTTAGTTTGTCAATGCATTTTTCTAACTACAGTTTAGGGGTTGATCGTGTTGACTGCGAATTGAACTCTTAAGAAACTATTATTTTTTACTTTGTTCGTCAATAATTCATAGTGCACTAGTCGACTAAGGCTGATTAACTTCACATGATATGCCCTTAATATCTCAAAATAAAGGAAGCATAATTTTGAAAAATTAAAAAATTCAAGAACCAGACGAACAAAAATTGATCTCATTGGCTAGATACATACAGACATTGACCTTTTGTACTAGACCAAAAATAGATTGAATAAAATGAAAACACGTAACACAGACTTGTACCATCAATGTCAGAGCTAAGTTAAATTGCCCTAGCAAACTCTCATAATAGAGAAAATGGCTAAAACGTTTTTTCATCACATTTCTTACATGCAATGGCGGAGTCCAGTGGGGCCAGTAGGATTTGAGGCTCCCATCGAAATTCGAAAAAAAGAAAAAAAAAATCTTTTATGACTTTTTAAAATTCTTTTTAAGTTATTATATTTATGTTTGAATAAAATATTTGTAGTTAAATTAGGTTAGCTGAATTCGAGTTCCAGTTCCAGTTCCATCACTGCATACATCTACAAAACTAAACCTCTACTACCCTTAATATGATTCATATGAATGTTATGGTAACATATATATTAACCCACAAAAATATTTTCGACCACTGAAGAATTTACTGTTTGAAAAGATTCTATTTAATTCTGCGAGATAATCCCCCCTCCTCCCAATTCTGAGAGGTAAATCAGTGGTCAGACTTTGAGTTTGTTTCTCAATGATTACCGGTTTGAGTTTCTTCAAAGTTATTGAGATGAATATCCGACTGTAAATTTCAGGATCCCGTGAAATTAGTCGAGGTACGTATAAGTTGGTTCGAACACCCACGGTCATAAACCACCACCCCCCCCCCCCCCCCCCCAATTTCAAATTTATGCCCCTAATTAAGAACCAACCACTGTATTATGAAACTAGCATTATTAATTGTAAATGATCCAAAACGACGAAGTGATTTTCTCTCACTAACACTGGTCCAAATAATTCCTATGCCCTAAATTATTTGAGTTACATAAACTTGTTGCAGGCTCATTTTCCACGTTGATTTTCAACCCATCTCTACATGTCTACTTTCTTCTCTATATAAAGGAATCTAAGTTCAAGCCTTCAACCATGTACAAAAACTTGATTTTCCAATCAAAACTACTCCGTGGAGTTTTTGATATTTTTCTTCTTCCTCTGATCGGATATCCGGTCGATACGGCATTTATTCTCCACCGTTTTTCTTGCAAATTAAAGAGTGCTCAGCAAACTTAGAATAACCTGAATCAAACAAAAAAATAAAAATAAAAAAATGTTGAACCTTAGTATCTCCAAATCGCAGACTCATCAAATCCTACTTCCAAATTGCAATCCCTTTTTCTTCGGTAGAAGAAATGCTTCTTTTGCCGGCAATCCGAAGTTTAAGTCAGTAAGAAAACATGAAAATGTTCGTGTTGGGCGAGGGAGTAGCACGATAAAGGCGGTACAAACCTCGGCCAAGAAATCAACCACCACCACCACCAGCGCTACAGTGGTCATTACTGTGCAGCAAACGGTGGGTGGAGCCCTTACTCACTTAGGTTTGAGCCGAGGACTCGATGATATAGGTGACGTTCTCGGCAGAACCCTCCTTGTAGAGCTTGTTGCTGCTGAGCTTGACCCTCGTAAGTATATATACCCATTTGTTCCCGGAGCAAAATATTTGAATAACTAAGAAACTAATTTTTAATAAAAAGATTAGGGTATAGACGTCTTTATGTTTTTTTTTTTAAACAGCTTTTTTAAAATGTTTTGTTAAGCCACCTCATCTAATTAAATATTTAAGCCAAAATTAGCATTTTTCTTGTTCATCATTTTTTTTATCTGTATTTTCAAGCTACTCGACTTAAAAAAGATCCAAAACTTCGTTGCTGTTAATGTGGAAAAAACCCATTGTTATGTATTTTTGTTAAATCACGTGATATAAGTTTTATTTAGGATTCCATTAAGTTTTTAATGTTTCTTGGGTGCACTAAATTTCCACCAAACTCGATTTTTCCATCACATAAAGGCATCTCCAACCATTGCACCATTTTACACATTTTTTGGTGCAAAGTTAAATTGGTGCAAAGTGTAAAATGTCCCTTATGCCCTTATTTAGCATTTCTCATTTAAATTTGTTGAGGCTATTTATGTCATTTGTGTTATATATTTTTTAATATAATAAATTATTATTATTATTTTTATTAATATTAATATTATTTGCATTTAAAATAAATTTTAAATGTAAGACATAATAATTAAATTGTGGGATGAACATATGAATTCTGGGAATACATTAATCGATCATTTGTGGGATGAACATATGAATTCTGATAATTAAATTGTAAAAATTTAGTGACTTTATAATATCGTCTATCCAAATTTGAAATACATTGTAATATTTTCTGATGGCATGATTTCACATTTTCGTTATTGTAGTATTTTTATTAATTGTTCTATATCTTTTATATTTATTAATGAATTTAATTTTTTCCGTAATTTAACGTAATTATTTATTAGTAATTTATGTATTTATAAAATAATTAAATAAATAATATTTCTAATAAATAAATTATAAAGAATAAAAAAAGAGAAGAAAATGGTTAAACACTGTTTATTTAGTGTAATGGTTAGATATAAATTTTAATTTAGTTCAAAATAATGCAAAATCTGTTGCAGTGTTGGAAATAGGCTACTAGGTGATCCCACCTCGTAGGATTCCTTTAAGAATATAGATATATTGCTTGCAACAGCGAGGCGTAATGATTTCTCCATCAGTGGCTATATTCCAAATGTCTATATTACCCTTTTCTGTAGACATTAAATTGAAACGGTTACCTATACATGAGAAAAGACGCCATAATTGGATAGGACAATAAAGTAAATACATGTAACCAAACGAAGGGCAATTAAAGGCCTTTTGTAACATAAAGTTATTGCTCCGTACCACTTCTTGCAATGTTGCGTAGGCAACGTGAGTTGTCTTAGAATCTGACGAATTTATTGAAAAAAGCAGCACCAGACACGGGGCTTATTGTGTCGGGCAAAGTTGAATAATTTCGTGCAAGTAATGAAATCAAAAGTCTAACCAGTTAAAAGCACATTAATTGACAAGGAAATAGTTTTAAGAAAGTAAAAATAGTTCAAATTCTTATTGATTAAGTGATTAAAAATTTTTAAAAAATATATTTAAATGAACACCAATAAAAACTCTCAATTTACATCCTTATTTTTATTTTTTATTTCCTATGTTTTGCCAGTTTAATTTTATTCCACTTTTATATTGTAATTTTTTTAAAATTCACTAATTTAAATTTTTTATATTACTTGATAATATCTTATCATAAAATTGTTTTATTTTACTGATAATAAAATTTCAAAAAACGAAAATATCATAAACAATTTATCAAACTTCCAAATCTAACATGTTTTCTAATTTTTTGTTGAATCATGCTACAGTAACATAATGTCATGTGGCGTTTTATGATTAGAACACATTTTTCATCCAATTACAAAATGTCACACACTCTTCTGTCAAACTATTTGTCACAATTTTTCTGTTAGTGTGGCATTTTCCATTTTTGTTTTGAAAAATCGTTTTTCATAATGATAAACTAAAAACATTTTTAGCAATTTTAAAATAGACAATCAAAATAGAAAATTGAAAATGAACTCAGAACTCAAAATGAAACACAAATCAAATTGAATGGACCCTAAATTTTTTTATTTTTTTGTGAAATGAAATATATGTAGCTTAAGTAATTAAAAAGTCAGATATTTATTTTTATTGCTCTTTTATTTAAATGTGATGTGGTAGATTGGATTTCAATGTTTATTATTATGCGATCCCATTTATCAAATGAGTTATTCTAGTTTGAGAAATTATCTATAGAAGTTCGAATATAAGAATATTTATCACCTCAAATTAGATAACTTGCGTGTGTAAGTAAAGTCACAATACTGTTATCGAAGTTATTTTAATAATTATTTTGTACTATCTTTTGAAGACACTGGATCTGAGAAGCCCAAAATCAAAGCCTATGCTCATAAGAAGGACAAAGATGGTGATGAAACGCATTATGAGTCTAATTTCAATGTTCCCGAAGATTTTGGGGAGGTTGGAGCAATTACAATAGAGAATGAACACCACAAAGAAATGTTCGTGGAAAGTGTTGTCATTGATGGGTTATATGGTGGTCCAATCAATGTCACTTGTAATTCATGGATTCATTCCAAGTTCGACAACAAAGAACCGAGGGTATTTTTTGTTGACAAGGTTAGTCTATGTCCATCTCGTCATTATTTTATTTTTCGTTATATTCACCGAGAAATATGGTTCCGATTTTACGATTGTTTGACTAAGGTTTTGATTAAGTTTTAACAATTTTTAAGATTTTTTAAGCAAACACGCCATTCGTAGTTGTAAAGAAAGTGACAACCAAAGTATATGGTCCTATGTTTCGACCATTAATCGAAGTATCTGCAGAAGCCCAACTTTCTAGGCGGTCCATATCGTATATTAACCTTTATTAAATTTTTTGGCATAATAAATTAATTACTCCAATTTTTAGAAATAGGACTTTCGCACGTCAATGAGATTGAACTAGGTTGTCACATCGGGCATAAAGATGGCAATCGGGCTTGTTGGCTCGAACCGTCCATGGCTTGGTCCAGAAAAAGCCCCCATTTCCGGGAGTTAGCTTGAGTTGGGCCAACCCCTTATAAAAAAATTAAAAAAATAAAAATTTGTGGGTTATCAATAGCTACCAAACATGCAGCTAAAGTGCCTTAACAAGTAGCTACATAGTTGCCGGCTAAAGTAACATCCGAGCTGCCTGTTGGCAGCTATAAGCTACCTGTTTCGCAGCTATTTTGGCTGCCAAATAGATAGCTAATTTGTTGCCAACCGACAGCAAAATCTGCTGTCGATTGGTAGCCAACAAGCAATTTATCAAGCTGTTGACAGGTAGCTAAGAAGAGAGAAAAATAAAAAAATAAAAAATCTGAGAAAATTGAGCCGGCTCGGCTTGGCCTGGTAAGGGTCAAGCTAAAAGCTCGGGTCGAACCTTAATTTTTTGGTCGAGCTTTTACTTGGCTCGGGCAAAAAAAAGCTCGTCTTCAAAAAGATCAAGCCGAGTCAATTCGGCTCGTTGACATCCTTAATCGTGTACATAGTATGTTATTCGAGGATTGATGAAAAAAATGGTCATAATCATTGGTTGGAAGGATTTTCTCTTTATCTACCACAATTTATTTTTATAATAGTTAATAAAAAAAATTATTTAGCCCTTTTATGGTGTAGCTTAAAATTACGATAAAAATTTAAGTTAAAATTAACAATTAATAGTTATAAGAAAATGACTATTTAGCCTTTTTATGGTGTAGCTTAAAATTATGACAAAAATTTAAGTTAAAATTAACACAATTTGTATCAATTTTTTAAATTATATATTTCATCAACTTTAATGTTATTTACCAAGCAAGTCCTTAATGTTATTCCATATAAAGTTAAAGATAATAGTAAAATTTAAAGAGTTTTCATTTGTTAGGACCACAGTCGAAGATTTCGAGTTGATATTTGTGTGTGGTTTTCATGTGATGGGGGCAAAATTTGTATATACACCGAGCAAGTCCTTAATGTTATTCCACATAAAATTAAAGATAATAGTAAAATTTAATGAGTTTTCATTTTGAGGATCACAGTCGAAGATTTTGAGTTGATATTTGTGTATGGTTTTCATGTGATGGGGACAAAAGTTATATATACACCGAGCAAGTCCTTAATGTTATTCCATATAAAGTTAAAGATAATAGTATAATTTAACAATTTTCCATTTGTTAGGACTACAATTGAAGATTTCAAGTTGATATTTGTGTATAGTTTTCATGTGATGGGGGCAAAATTTGTGTATAGCAGTGCCTCTGTCCCACAAATACAGGCTTGCTTGCAATATACCCCTAATAGTGAATAATGGTTTAAATAAGAGTAATCGATATTTGTTGATGATAACATCACACATTAAATATGGCAAATTAAAAAAAAAATTAAAAAATCTATTATACTATCTACAAGGAAAGTTGACTATAATTTGGAAAAAATAAATAAGGAAAGTAAGCATATCTTATAAAACCGATGGAGTATATTGTCACAAATGAGTTATAATTAATAAGAGAGTAAGATGTGAATAATTATTCCAAAAAAAAAATAAAAATAAAAAGAAAAGAAAAGAAAAGAAAGTTTCCATAACTAAGACCACTATTGAAGACCTGGAGTTGATGATTGTGTATAGTTTTCATGGGTTGGGAGCAAAATTTGTGGGTATAATATCGAACATTCTTACAAACAAGTTATGATAAGAGAATACAGACATGAATAATTATACAAAAAGAAGAGTAATATAATTTGACTGAAGTAAGTAAGTTTCGATCATTAGGACTGCTATCAGAGATTTCAAGTTGATGTTCGTGTATAGTTTTCGAGGGATGGGAGCAAAATTTGTGTATAATATCATACACCGTTACAAAAGAATTATAATAAGAGAGCAAAAATATGAATAATCATTCAAATAGAAAGAGTGTTTGAATCTGACTCGATTATGCATCTTGATTTTATGTTAACACAAATATTGGGGTTTATTATGTAATTTTAATCTTACAGTAAAAAAAGAAAAATATATCTTTAATACGTTATTTAGTTAAAGTTTTACTCATTTGCTTGCACTTGTAATTTTGAAAATAAAGTCATATTTGCCATCAAACACACCAAGTGGGCTGAAGATTTATAGAGAAAAAGAGCTCCAAATTCTTCGAGGTGATGGCACCGGGGAACGCAAGACCTTCGAAAGGATCTACGATTATGATGTATATAACGATCTTGGGGATCCAGACAGTAGCGAGGATTTAGCTCGGCCGGTGCTCGGCGGCCAGGAACATCCATATCCTCGCCGGTGCAGAACTGGTCGAGCGAGAACCAAGACAGGTAGAGAATACCCAGCCATTTTTTTCAATCTATATATTTAGTTATAAGTAATTCAGTTTCATTCGTTTGATTCATGTGTTTAGATCCATTATCGGAGTCAAGGAACGGTAATGTGTATGTGCCAAGAGACGAGGCGTTTTCAGAAGTGAAACAAATGCAATTCTCGGCTAAAACAATATACTCAGTGCTTCATTCATTGGTACCATCCATAGAGACTTCTATAATTGACAGTGATCTTGGATTTCCCCACTTCACCGCTATAGAGACTCTGTTCAATGAAGGAGTTGAGCTACCAAAGCAAAAATCTACAGGATTTTTAGCAAATATTATTCCCAGGCTTGTAAAGGCTATTACAGATGTTGAAAAGAATGTCTTGCTTTTTGAGACCCCCCAATTATATGAAAGTAAGTTAGCACATATTTGCCATCTTATCATGTAATAACAAAGACATTTGAGATTAATATGCATGTTGTTATTGCAGGAGACAGGTTTTCTTGGTTTAGGGATGAAGAATTCGCACGACAAACTCTAGCTGGTATAAATCCATGCCGCATTGAGTTAGTAACGGTATGCTTTCCAATTCCAATTCACTTCTTTCTTCTCGCTCAACACAAATGTCTTGATGGATCTTGTTGACCTTAAAATCAATCTGATCCAAAGGCCAACAGAATCCCGGCTACCTATACATGACATGCACGCTTGGAACACACTATTAGGGTTCAAAGGTCACCTACCCAGAAAAAGTCCGGCAATATTTTGCACTCCAATGATCAAATCAATAGTCGGACAAGAGACAATGGGTGCAAGAGACGGGTGAGAAGGATTTGTCTAGGGTTAATATATATATATATATATATATATATACATTTTGTACTTGGTGTTTAGGAATTTACTTCGGCATAATTTTATGGACCATTCTTGGGGTCCAGGTGCCGGGCCACCTCGATATTATGGACACTATTATGACGTCCATTATGTACACTTAGAATATTCCTAATTTTATATGGGCATCTATGCTTGATGCTTCTGTTTTCGTCAAGCAGAAATTAAGGCATACTCTGGAAAGATTACTTCTTGAAATGTGCAGGCTAAGAACTCATTGTTGTACGGAGCCTTACGTAATTGCAACAAATCGACAACTAAGTGCGATGCACCCGGTTTACAAACTATTACATCCTCATTTGCGATACACTATGGAGATCAATGCTTTAGCTCGTGAGGCTCTTATTAATGCAAATGGAGTCATCGAGAAGGGATTCACCCCCCGGAAATACTCATTGGAGGTCAGCTCTGCTGCCTACGACCAGCTATGGCAGTTTGATCTTCAAGCACTGCCAGCTGATCTAATTAGCAGGTACGATGATGAACCACCTCATAGCTTATAGAAAAGAGTAACGTTATTTATTGAAATTTAGTCTGCAATATGTAAGATTGTAAGCAGATCTGAATATTTTTACTACTGGAATGCGCAGGGGAATGGCGGTGGAGGATCCGGCAGCTCCACATGGCTTGAAACTAGCAATCGAAGATTATCCTTATGCCAACGATGGTTTACTTATTTGGGATGCCATTAAGAAATGGGTTACAGACTATGTCACTTACTACTATCCAGAAGCAAACCTTGTACAATCTGACGTTGAACTCCAAGAATGGTGGACTGAAATTCGAACAAAAGGCCATGCAGACAAGAAGGACGAGTCCTGGTGGCCGGTGTTAGAAACTCCGGGTGATCTAATAGGAATCCTCACAACCATTATTTGGGTAGCTTCAGGACACCATGCTGCTGTAAACTTTGGTCAATACGATTTTGCAGGATATTTTCCAAACCGGCCTACCATTACTAGAACGAATATGCCTACAGAAGATCCAAACGACACCGAAAAGGAGGAATTTCTGAAGAAACCCGAGGAGTTTATCCTGAAGTGTTTCCCTTCACAAGTTCAAGCAACCATTATTATGGCCATTTTAGACGTTTTATCGTCCCATTCGCCCGACGAGGAGTATCTCGGGGAGAACATCCAACCATACTGGAAAGATGATAAGTATATAAATGCCATATTCGAACAGTTCGCTGGGAAAGTGAAAGAGATTGAAGGAATTATTGATGCTAGGAATACTAATTGTGATCTGATGAATAGATCTGGAGCTGGAGTAGTTCCATATCAGCTTTTGAAGCCATTTTCCGAAGCAGGTGTAACAGGAAAGGGTGTGCCTAACAGCGTTTCCATTTGATGTAAGAATGCTATATATTAGCAAACTTCAAATGATTGTCTCCTGTATGAATTTGGAAAAGGGAAAATGAATAAAAGTTACACTTGTTAAAGCTATTCTTGGATTTTATGAATAAAATTTTAGAGGAAACTATATGGAGATAACTTCTATGAAAATGGTCTCTCGAACAGAACTTGAGATTCACGAAAGTATTATCATGTAAAAATTCCTTCACATTTACAATTACACCCACCCTTAAATATATTAGGTTTTGTTCAAACTTAATTCCACAAAACAGTGTGGCATGTTTGTAAGTTGATCTCGATAATATTGGTTCGGAGATTAAAATCATTAGTGATCAATGAACTTTTAGCGTTCATTTTGTTCGAAGTTGGTCATTTTGCCCTTGTTTGGTAGGATTAAAAACAAATTTTTAATAGAAATTGATAAAATGTGTGATTTAAAAAATTGTAGATCCCATAAAATGTATGTTTAAAATTAATTATTAATTTTAACATAAATTAAAATCTTTATTTTAATTTGTACCAAACCCCGGGCTTAATATAACTTGATTTCGAGTTGCTATCTACATTTGCTACAACATTTTTATTTTATTTATATATGTTCATTAGGAAATCGATGCAAATGGCAATGTAATTAGCATGAAAATGCATGAATCATATTGGCCTATGTATAAATATAAGCTTTTGAAGCGATTTTCTGAAGCAGGTGTAGCAGGAAAGGGTGTGCCTGATAGCATTTCCATTTGATGGAAGAATGCTTTAAATGAGCAAATCAGCAAACCTCAAATAATTGTCTGTTGTATGATTTTGAATAAGGGAAAATGAATCAAAGTTACGTTTTGTGCAGCTATTTTTGGATTTTATGAATAATTATCTACATTTGATTAGAGAAAATTATATGGAGATATAACTTCTACGAACAATTATCTGCATTTATAGGACGAACCACTCTTTAGCTTTTAACTGTAAAAATGATGATATATAGGAAATGGTTTCTCGATCAGAACTCGAGACTCATGGAAGTATATCATGCAAAAAGTCCTTTCACATTTACATCTACCCTTAAATATATTAGGTTTTGTTTGAACTTAATTTCACAAAACAATACGGCATGTTTGTAAGTTGAACACAACAACATTGGTTAGGAGATTAAAATTGGGATCCAGGCGGTCCGGGGTGACCAGCACGGCTCCTTTCTTCTCAAGAATCCAAATAAAGTCAAATCGCTAGCAGGCTACCCTGACTTGATAAGTAATAAAACCCATAGCAAAAAGGTTTTGGTTTCAAAAGCTGACTTTCTCCGATGTACATACTCCTTTGCCAATAGGATTAGTGAGCAACAAACTTTTAGCGATCATTTTGTTCGATGTTCATTAAATAAAACTTTGTTTCAAGTTGTCACATTATCTTTTCTAGTTAGTTTACGTTCGAAGTAATCAAATTGTGTATGATGTTTACTTTCAGCGATCAATTTTAAACAAATGAAGTTTATACCAACATGAAGTTTTGGCAAAAAGAAGCAAGTTGATCATCAATTGTTTTATTACAGTAGAACAATTCTCACCAATGATGGAAGCTATCAATATCTCTATTAAATTTAAATGAGCTCCTCATATAGACATGGCTCGAAGTGATTTTTGGACAAGAAGATGATTTCGATTTGATTTAACAGTTCGCTAGTTTTTATCGATCAGCTTAGTTTGATTAATGTCTGTCTTGGAATGTTTGCTCAATGAATTTGTCTACTCTCAATACAATTTCCAATTTTATAACTGGACTTTTTTTCCTTTTTTATTATGTGGAAATAAAAAGAAAAATAAATTGTACAGCAAATCCAGTCAATATATATACAAATATTGATTGGGATAACAATTAATTTAATCAATATAAAATTATTGATCAGGATAAATATTAATTTACTCCAGTTAAAAAGTTGACTACTCAAATATCGTATATATTTTTACATGTTCACTTGATTGAAGAAAACCTTATCTTGAAATCTGTATGAAAATTGATATTTCGCAGCAGGATCAATCTCCATTTTTTACTCTAACCCCATTCCGCTATTATATTCATTTAATTCTCCAGCAAGAATGGATACAGATACTTTTGCTGGTTTTTATTATAATGTAGCAGATGGTATTTTTCTCTCACACTTATCATATCCACCAAATCGACCCCATATGATCCTTATCTAGTTTTTATTTAGTGGGGGATTAAATAAGATTTTTAGTAAATTTTGATAAAATCGACGAAATGTGTGGTTGAAAAATAGTAGATCCCATAAAATATATTATTGAAATTAATTGTTGATCTTGATTTAGATTAAAATCAAAATTTTAATCCCGTCAAATAGGGGGATAGTATGAATATTATAACACCTAACACACATAGAATACTCAATATAACTACATAATACAAAATGATTAAGCCATATATTATCTAAAACTCGTGTTTATTGTGGAAACCTATTTTTTAATAATGAATGTCTTTATGACCCAACCACTAGTGTACAAATATTATTTATTAAATTAAGTACTTCGAAATATGCAAAATATAATAAAGCATAAAAAACTATTAACCCACAAAATGTTAATCTCACCTGTTTTAAATATCAATATCTCTAGTTTATACTAGAGCTGTAAGTAAAAATCGTAAAATCAGAAATTCGAATTGGAACCGCATTTTAGAAATCGTCGATTTGGTGCCACGTGGACTCGATCAACGAAATGGTTTTGACCCAAACCAAACCGGTCAAAATGGTTTAGTTTAGGTTTGAGAATTTTAATTGCAGTTTAAAACCAAACCGGATAGGCGAAAAAATATATAAAAATAAAAAAAATGAAAAAATGAATTTTTTTGAGAATTCATCCAAATATGTAAAATTCAATAGTTTTGTCATTTTTGGATATTTTTGTCAATTCCTAATTTTCTAATACAGATATATTATTATTATTATTATTATTATTATTATTATTATTATCATCATCATCATCATCATCATCATCATCATCCAATAATCCTAATATATATTTAATAATTTCAAGACTAACATAATCTATCAAAAGCCTATTTTCTCTTCAAAATTTAAATGATCTCTTCAAAATTTAAATGAACTTCAATCGATGCCCAACATAGCTTTGAGCCACCGGCACCATACACTTCGTTTTTAGATTTTTCACGCCAATTCAAAGTTAAATTGAAGTCTATTATACCAAATCGGAGACAACGAGATCCTAGACCTTCGATAATAATATTTGCTACTAATAAAGTTTCAGATCAATAATTTTTTGGAATAAACTAAGATAAGAATTTGAAATTAAATGTGTTTCGTAATATCATACAAACGTAAAATTGTGTAATTCTCTTTGTTTAATCAGTATTCTTTTTTCAGATATGATGATCACAAGATCTTGTTGGGCATCATTATGTTTTTTGAACCTTATATCTAGTTTAGTAGACTTCTATTGTAACGTTATTGTATCGTCATTAGCCTAAAAAATGTGAACAAAAATGAAAAAAAACTATGTTTTAACTTATTGTGATTTCACTCTGATTTAGTTGTTATTTAAATTTATAGAAGATATATTTAGCCCTTGTTTGAACCATATTTTTCATATCATCATAATGAGAAAATTGACTATTGGGGAGGAGGTTAGGTCCCATACATGAAATAGCAGGTCAACAAAAACGGTTGAACTTGTGGAATAACGGTCCAAATTTTCATTTTTTTGTCCCAAAAATTTGGTTCAAAAAGGGGCTTAGTTTGTTTTAGATTTATTACTAGTGAGATATAAATATATATTAAATTAAATGAATTAATGAAATAAAAGTAGACGGGCAAAAAAATATATGACGAAGCCAGCGGTTTAAAATCGGACCAAATCGTTAGGTTTAGGTTTGAGTTTTTTTTTAAACCGTTCAAAATGGTTTGGTTTAGGTTTGGATTTTTCTCTAACCGTTTTAAATTGTTTGGTTTGAAAATCTGTTGAAAATCGATAAAATCGAATCGCTTACACCCCTAGTTTATACAAATAGTTTCACTGATTTGATAGATATAATGTGCAAATCATTTATTTTGGATATTCAGCCATCTTTTCGAAGGCGACTGAACATGCAATATTGTATTGTTTTTCCTCAACCTATTGCTCAATTAAGCAAGTTGGTTCTCCATTATTTATTGCACAAACATGTTTCACTTGGAAAAAAATTATACGTCAACAAAAATTTGAATTAAAAAAAAAAAAAACAATTTCGTGAGGTTGAATATGTTGGAGGAACTTTTTATCAAAGAATTAGACAGTGTCCATAGTTGACTACTAATTCTACACAGTGGCGAATTAGTTCCCACACTAAATTTAAAATCCAAGAATTTCAAACAAAATTCCTTATAATTTTCAACTTTGTCCCTACAATTAAAATTTTGTGAAATTTGTCTATACAACTCTACAATCCTAGCTTCACCCTTGATTCTACAATTACAAAGAAATGTTGGGACAAACTTCCTCATTTCAAAGGTTTAGGAACATGCATTACATTCAAATTAACATAATGACCTTATAGTTGAATGAAATTCGCTCAGTAATTCCTTCACCGTCTTAGAAATGTATTTTTCGTATATCAATCTCGAAATCAACAAGATATGAAGATTTTTGAACATTCTGATTGTTGGTGAATTTTAACAAAAACTAACTTGTAATCGAACAATAAGTTGAATATTAGAGGTACAATTTCCCTTTTGACATAACATTTTGTTTTTATATATACTACGGAATAAAAGAGTCTCAAATTATAGAAATCTTGGCCAAACTATACCAAGAGCATCAGCCAGTAAATAAGAACTTAAATCATCCGTAGGGAAACTAAAACTATGTAAGCCTAAGTTTAAATGATCGAAATGAGTGGTCATTCAATCCGTGCAATAGTTTGCCTCCTTATGAACATGTCATGGATAGAAGAGATTAAACTGAAGGTCCATTGGTAGCTGATGTGGTGCAAAAGGAATTGGACTTAATGGCAAAGTGGAACCGGAGCAAGAAAAAATAATTGGGAGGAAATTTGAAATTGTCCGTTTTTGAAGAATTTGTAGTCTAATTCGGTTGGAAACGGACTGAAAAGTTAAACTCAAAGACTTTTCTTTTGACGTAGGACCAATTTCGGGCAAATTTGTTCGTTTAGACTTTTTTTCCTTTTTTGGTAATTCTTATTTTGAGTATATCTCAATCAAATAAATTCGAATTTACATTCTGTTTGTTGGAGAGTAATCCAAAGATTAGGACTATTAATTTCCGTCATTATCTTGATTTTTCCATTTTTGGAAAAAAAAATATTTTTTTTATTATTATTATTTAATTTCTGAATTTTCTAGGTTTTTGCTATAAATACGTTGTAAGTCTCTTGAGGCCGTAGATTGATTTGAATGAGATAAAACTTTTCATGAATTTTCTTGTTTGTGAGATTTGTTCATCTTCCTTATAACTTTCGCTATGTCAGTAGCCAACCTTGAGGTTGTTGTAATGAGCTTATTTTATAAATAATTACATCTTTGCGTGGAATATTGTTCAATGAATTGCTCCATTTTCAATATTTTCATTTTCCTTTCATTTATATATACATAAACCCTTCTTATGACTCCACATAATTATAAATTTATTACATCATAGAGCTATTTTTCATATTTATGTCTTAATGTGCCAACCACTAATGTGCTACATGTATTATTATTATTACATTGTGTAATTAGAAACGTGTATAATATAATAAATCACTAAAAACGACAAACAAAATTTTGATCTTACACACACTAGCTGATCCATATCATTTCTGCATTATTAGACTTCATAAAAATAAAATTACTTTAATATTTAGGCATACATGTCAACCTATCTATTTAAAGGGCTCTTAGTTCAAGCCTACACTTCAAAGAGTTATCACAACACAAACTTGTAATGACCTAAATCATAGAAACAAAAATGTTGAACCTAAATATCTCCAAACCACAGTCTACTCATCATCAAATCCTACTTCCAAAATACAAGCCATTTATCTTAGGAGGAAATGCATCTTTTGCAATATTTCCGAAGTTTATCTCAGTGAGAAAACATGAAAATATTCGTGTTGGGCAGGTGAGAAGCACGATAAAAGCGGTGAAAACCTTGACCAAAAAGTCCACCACCACTGACGTTAAAGCAGTCATCACTGTGCAGCAAACGGTGGGTGGAGTTCTCACTCACTTAGGGTTGAGCGGAGGGCTCGATTTTATAGTTGATGTTCTTGGTAGAACTCTCCTTATAGAGCTAATTGCTGCGGAGGTTGATCCTGGTAAGTTTAAATAGCATGTTTGGCAAAGCTGCAAAGCATCAATTTGGGGAAATTCTTTTTCTTAAACTGGTTGGTAGAAAAAAAAAAATAAAAAAAAAAATCCTTAAGTTGTTGGTGGAGGACATCTAGGCTCCCTTTGGCACGTTTTCTGCTTCTCATAGAAGAAAGAAGCAACCCTAATCCAATTTTCTTTAAAAGCTCTTATAGTTAGACAAAGAACTTTCAAAAAATTATTCAAACAAGTTCAAAAATAACTTCTTAGTTTTAGAAGCAATTTTTAACTTTTCAGAAGCCTTGCTACACTTATGTACCGAGTAAACTATTAAAGAATAATGTATTTATTTCTATATAATTATTTTAATACTCTAATTTCTTTATAAACACTTTATGATGAGCCAATTTTGAGAAATTCTCCATTTCTTCGTTATCAAAATAGTGATGTACTCCTGTCATGATCATGAACATATAATCAAGCAAAAGATATGAATTTTCATTTATTACAAATTATGCATGTGTTTGAGCAATAAAAAATAATTATGAACACACTAATATATGTTCATATTTATTTTTTATTGCTCAAACACATGCATCATGCATAATTTGTAATAAATGAAAATTCATATCTTTTGCTTGATTATATGTTTATTAAAGAATGATTATATGTAATTAATAAATTTTGTTGACCAGGGACATAAATTAGTAGCCAAATTAATTTTCTTGTCTTCTTTTAAAGTGGTGATCAAAGTCGAATAACTTACATTCAAGTACCAACCAAATGTCTAACTAAATAAAAGCACCTTTACAATGAAAAGCTATAAAATGAAAAGGTCTAAGTTTCGATAAACTTAAAGTTATATGCTTAGGTTTGAGAAAAGTTTTTTTAATTAGAAATTCGCTAATTATGTTTTTGAAGAGTAGATGTTTATTTTTCGACTAAACTATTTAAGAATTGCAGGGTACACGAGGTGAGGTTTCTTAAACTTTTCACTATACTATGATCTTTTGACATAATATGTATTCTTTTTAGGAAAAAGCCAAACGTCCAGGGTGGGGTACCGGAAGCAAAACTATTCTTTTTGTTGTATTTTGTGTTATGGTCATTAATAAAAAAAAATCCACTTAGAGTGGTTTAAGTATGTAATAATAATAATAATAATAATAATAATAATAATAATAATAATAATAATAATAAATATTTCCGAAGTTTATCTCGGTGAGAAAACATGAAAATATTCGTGTTGGGCAGGTGAGAAGCACGATAAAAGCGGTGAAAACCTTGACCAAAAAATCCACTACCACTGACGTTAAAGCAGTAATCACTGTGCAGCAAACGGTGGGTGGAGTTCTCACTCACTTAGGGTTGAGCGGAGGGCTCGATTTTATAGTTGATGTTCTTGGTAGAACTCTCCTTATAGAGCTAATTGCTGCGGAGGTTGATCCTGGTAAGTTTAAATAGCATGTTCGGCAAAGCTGCAAAGCATCAATTTGGGGAAATTCTTTTTCTTTAACTGGTTGGTAGAAAAAAAAAAAAAATAATAAAAATCCTTAAGTTGTTGGTGGAGGACATCTAGGCTCCCTTTGGCACGTTTTCTGCTTCTCATAGAAGAAAGAAGCAACCCTAATCCAATTTTCTTTAAAAGCTCTTATAGTTAGACAAAGAACTTTCAAAAAATTATTCAAACAAGTTCAAAAATAACTTCTTAGTTTTAGAAGCAATTTTTAACTTTTCAGAAGCCTTGCTACACTTATGTACCGAGTAAACTATTAAAGAATAATGTATTTATTTCTATATAATTATTTTAATACTCTAATTTATTTATAAACACTTTATGATGAGCCAATTTTGAGAAATTCTCCATTTCTTCGTTATCAAAATAGTGATGTACTCCTGTCATGATCATGAACATATAATCAAGCAAAAGATATGAATTTTCATTTATTACAAATTATGCATGTGTTTGAGCAATAAAAAATAATTATGAACACACTAATATATGTTCATATTTATTTTTTATTGCTCAAACACATGCATAATTTGTAATAAATGAAAATTCATATCTTTTGCTTGATTATATGTTTATTAAAGAATGATTATATGTAATTAATAAATTTTGTTGACCAGGGACATAAATTAGTAGCCAAATTAATTTTCTTGTCTTCTTTTAAAGTGGTGATCAAAGTCGAATAACTTACATTCAAGTACCAACCAAATGTCTAACTAAATAAAAGCACCTTTACAATGAAAAGCTATAAAATGAAAAGGTCTCAGTTTCGATAAACTTAAAGTTATATGCTTAGGTTTGAGAAAAGTTTTTTTAATTAGAAATTCGCTAATTAAGTTTTTGAAGAGTAGATATTTATTTTTCGACTAAACTATTTAAGAATTGCAGGGTACACGAGGTGAGGTTTCTTAAACTTTTCACTATACTATGATCTTCTGACATAATATGTATTCTTTTTAGGAAAAAGCCAAATGTCCAGGGTGGGGGACCGGAAGCAAAACTATTCTTTTTATTGTATTTTGTGTTATGGTCATTAATAAAAAAATTCCACTTAGAGTGGTTTAAGTATGTAATAATAATAATAATAATAATAATAATAATAATAATAATAATAATAATAATAATAATAATAATAAAGAGGATGCATTTATTTATTTAGATACATTTCTATTGCTCATTTGTCATAATCATGTTAACAGTTAACCCCTATTTGAGCCCCCATTTTTTGAGAATTGATTTTATAAAAAGTTATTTTTTTTTACTCTTTTTTTTCTTTTCTTTTATTTAAAAAAACTAACTATCATCTTTTCAAGATATCGGATCAAAGAAGCCAACCATCAAAGCCTATGCTCATAGAGCAGGCAAGAAAGACAACGAAAATTATTACAAGACAAATTTCAAAATTCCTGATGATTTTGGAGAGGTCGGAGCAATAAGTGTAGAGAATGAGCACCACAAAGAAATGTTCGTAAAAAATATTGTCATCGATGGTGTATCTGGTCACTCTACCACTTTCACTTGTAATTCGTGGATTCATTCTAAGTTTGATAATAAACAGCCGAGGATATTTTTCGTGGACAAGGTTAGTCTATCTCCATCTTATAATGTCATTATTTTATTTATTTTATTTTTCCTTTCTACCAAGAAAAATAATTTAGTGCTTGAAATTATAGTTACAAAGAACATGACAACCAAAAGATATTGGTGAGTGCCAACTTTAAATTGTACTTCTAGGGTTTAGCCTGGGTGGTCTTGTGGTACACTATTGTTTGTTTTATTCTCTTATACATTATATTATACCATGTTTGGTAAAAATAAAAATCTAAATTCGAACTTAAATCAAAGTCAACAATTAATTTTAATCACGTATTTCATGGGACACACATCTCTTTAAATAATCACATATTTCATCAATTCTTATCAAATCCCCTAAAAATCTGATTCTAATCATCACCAAATTGGGACTATATTAATTTTAGAAAATCAAAGTAATCATAACATTAAAATACTATGATATTGGCATCAAAATATTTAATTTTTAGCGAGATCAAATTAAATAGAAATTATTATTTAAAACTAGTTTTTAACTTACCTTCCAATAATTAATTTGCATATTTCTAATTTGATTGATAAAAAAGGTTATAGGATGCGTAATGTGAGGCAATGTGTTTCAGTTTAGTATTAAGGATTACAAGCACATGAGTAATCATGGGTTTTCAATTTTTAATATTAATTTAAATATCTTAAACAAATAAATCAATAAAATAATCCTATCTTTGAAATTCTTCAATTTTTCAAATTTCAAGAAAAAAAATATATTAATCAAAATTATAAATACTACAATTACTTGAACCTTGTTGATGACTAATAATAACGTGGCAAATTTTGACCAACATAATAGAAAATTAATTGAGTGATTGCTGGAATTTAGGAAAATTAAAGGATAATTTCATTGATTGAAATTTGGAATGTGTTGAAGAGAATATATTGAGTTCAGCCCTTTGGAAGGGACCATATATATATCTATTTATATGCCTTTAATTGAGCAACTTGACCATTAGACTTCAAATTAGTTACAGTGCCTACCTATAAATGCATACCATCGCTCAAATTTATGTTGTTTGATTGATTGTTGAGGTCAACTGAATAGGTCCTCATGGTATCTAGATCGTAGTTGTGGCCAATGTCATAATTGCTTGTCACCTAAGTGATCGTTGCTGATTTTTTATTGGCCGAAAATGAGGTGTTGGCATCATGGGTGCCACTTATCTCTTTGGGAGTGATCATCCGAGTGGTGATGACATCATTTAGGAGACGTGTTTAGGATTGCAATGATAATGTTTCTTGATGATGGCAGGCATGGGCTGAGCTAATGTCATAGGTCAATCTAAACTATTATGATTCGGGTTGACCTATTATAGTTTGAGCTAACTTGTCATGAGTCACTGACCTATCTGGGTTGAGCTAACTTAGTGCTTATTTGATACATATTTTAAGCCATTTAAAATCAATTTTTTGATTGTTATTTTACTATTCTAACCGTCATTTTGGAATTCTTCTCCCATAAATAGGACCCACTTTATCTCTAACGGTCAAATAATCAATTATCAAAATTTCTACCAAACAATGACTTAGTGATCTCTTAGTCCGTCTTCTTTAAAGTAACTATTCAATCTTTATAAGCTTTCCTTCTATAATTAAGGTAAGTTTGAACTAGTTTTGTGAGTTCGGACACCAACACATATTCTTCAAAATCTCAACAAATACATATTGATCAAAATTATAAATACTATAATTACTTTGTAGCCAATTCGTACAATTAGATTAGATGAATACTGACTTAAAAAATCCTAAATGTTGTTTTAATTCTTTATCGGATTCCAATTCAATCTACACTTCCTCATCCAAGTTATTATTCGTGTTATCCAATACAAAATCATTTTAATCAAGCTCCTTTATTTCAAGTCGAAATTTTTTATTATATTTAGATGATAAGATATCATTATTAATCTCCTCCCCGTCATCGGAACCATCAACAATTCAAGATTGTGCACTACTAACATTACTTGCTAGTAAAACTAGACGAAGTCCGAAGAAGAATGAGGCTCAGGCAACACGTAGATAGTTAGCAACTTTACGAAAAATATGTTTAATTTTTTATTTTTTCTAAAAGTAAAACCCTGTAGATTGCTGCATATAATTTATGAATTTAGATGATTTTGGCTAATTTGATGTTAATTGTGCTCAATTTGCTTTTTTTAAGTTATAAAAATGAGCATGTTAGATTAATTTTGATGTAATTTTTAACCCAAATGCATGCACATTTTGGGTTAAGTGTGTATATATGGTCAATGAAATGAATTGATCACATTATCACGCGCATACCTCATATGTGAGGCGTTTTGAAAATGTTCCGAGTACATGCGTTTATTTTAGAACACTTTAAAAATTCTATGTGAAAATTACTTATTTATGTATAAATCGAGCATGCAGTCGTATTTACCAACTGAAACACCCAGTGGGCTAAAGAGTTACAGAAAAAAAGAGCTCGAAATTCTGCGAGGCAATGGCACAGGAGAACACAAGGCCTTCGAAAGGATATACGATTATGTTGTATATAATGATCTCGGCGAACCCGACAAAGGAGACGAATTGAAGCGGCCGGTGCTCGGAGGAGCCGAACATCCATATCCTCGACGGTGCAGAACTGGTCGGCCGAAAACGAAGAAAGGTAAGACATAGGCAACAATTTTTTGATAATTTACTTTTATTTTTATTTTTTGTTTTTTAAGGGAAAAAAGTTATATTTTGAACGTAAATTAAAAGATGAATCTTAATATCAATTTCAAAATACGTATAGGTTGCTGACTGTAACACAACGATTGAGTTCAGTTTTGTTGATGAAGATTCACGGAACAGTATCACGTCTTGTTGAAATAATTTTTTATTCCATTTTTGGCTCCAAAATTAAACTTGATGATGATGTAAATCAGTTAAGGTAGGAATCTGTAATTTAAATTTATTCATTTTCATTTGTTTGATACATGTTCGCAGATCCATTGTCGGAGTCGAGGAGCCTCAGTGTATATGTGCCGAGAGACGAGGCATTTTCAGAAGTGAAGCAGATGACATTCTCGGCTAAAACATTGTACTCGGTGCTTCATTCATTGGTACCGATGATACAGACTTCTGTAATAGACAGTGAACTTGGATTTCCCCACTTCACCGCTATAGAGACTCTGTTCAATGAAGGATTCGATCTACCAGCGCAAAGTGCTACCGGATTTTTGGGAAATATTCTACCCCGACTTGTAAAGGCTATTGCGGATGTTGAGAATAATATCCTGCGTTTTGAGACACCAGAAATTATTGACAGTAATAACTTTTCTTGTGTGAAGTCACAAGTCCGAAGTAATTAGTTTCGGGACAATGATGACACCTTAGATCGATATACTTGTGGTTGTTCTTGCAGGAGATAGGTTTTGTTGGTTTAGGGACGAGGAATTTGCTCGGCAAACTCTGGCAGGATTAAATCCATGCAATATCAAGTTGGTTACGGTATGCTTTCTGATTCAATTTTAACACATCTATGTCGTGCAACATAAGTGTCTTGATGGAACTAGTAGCGAAAATGTATTGAGTAATGCTATTTGTAAGCACTTGTTTCCATCAATCAAACACATCTTTCTTGTTCACAAAATTCTACTACCGACTAAGAAGTACTCGATTAAATATTCCAATAAAACATTAGAATATCAAAAATATATTGGTTCCACACGCATGTTAATCTTTTCATTGTTTTCTTACTTTAGTTACGTAGAGTTTGTGAATTTCGTCCCATGGTAGCTTCTTGGAATTACTAAAGAGAAATAATGTTACAGTATCACATAATTCCAAATGAATGCATGCAGGAATGGCCATTGAAGAGCAAACTTGACCCTGAGGTATATGGACCTGCTGAATCGGTAATCACAAAGGAAATTATCGAACAAGAAATTGGAGGGTTGATGACACTTGAGAAGGTAAGAGATGAACTGAACAGCTAATTCTCAACATGATCTATATCTAAACTCAATTTATATACTGTACCATTGCAGGCATTGGAGCAAAAGAAACTGTTCATTTTAGATTATCATGACTTGTTATTACCTTATGTGAATAAAGTAAGAGAGCTCAAGGGAACAACTCTCTACGGATCGAGGACATTGTTTTTCTTAATGCCTTCAGGCACGTTGAGGCCCTTAGCCATTGAGCTAACACGGCCGCCAATAGATGGGAAGCCACAATGGAAGGATGTATTCCAGCCGTGTTGGGACGCCACTGGCATCTGGCTGTGGAGGTTGGCTAAAGCCCATGTCCTTGCTCATGACTCTGGTCTTCATCAGTTAGTCAGTCACTGGTAAATTCAGGCTTTTTCTTGTTTTAATTTTAATTTCAAGGTTATCTAAAACAGCAAGCTAAGCGTTATTCCTTACGTACTGAATCGCAAGTTTCATTAGGTGTATATTGTACTTAATTACTTTAGGAAATATGCAGGCTAAGAACTCATTGTTGTGTGGAGCCTTACATAATTTCAACCAATAGACAATTGAGCGCAATGCACCCGATTTACAGACTATTACATCCTCACCTGCGATACACAATGGAGATTAACGCTTTAGCTCGCGAGGCCCTTATTAATGCAGATGGAATCATTGAGAAGGCATTCTCTCCAGGCAAATACTGTGCAGAGCTGTGCTCTGCAGCCTACGACCAACTATGGCAATTCGACCTTCAGGCTCTTCCAGCTGATTTAATTAATAGGTAACTTGTTGAACCATGTCATCTAAAAGCTTGGGCTTATAGAAAGTCGACACATTTATTTATTGAAGTTTAGTGTGAAACGCTCCTCTCTGAAGACTTATATGACTTTGGTATAACCAGGGGAATGGCGGTGGAGGATCCAACAGCTCCGCATGGCCTAAAGCTAACAATAGAAGACTACCCCTATGCCAACGACGGTTTACTTCTTTGGGATGCCATCAAGCAATGGATTACGGACTATGTCACTTACTACTATCCCGAAGCAAACCTTGTAAAATCTGACAATGAACTACAAGCATGGTGGACTGAAATTCAAACAGTCGGCCACGGGGACAAGAAGGATGAGCCCTGGTGGCCGGTGTTAGAAACATCAGAAGACCTAATTGGGATTCTCACAAACATGGTATGGGTAACTTCAGGTCACCATGCTGCTGTAAACTTTGGTCAATATGATTTCGCAGGATATTTCCCAAACAGGCCTTCCATTGCTAGAGCAATAATGCCAAAGGAAAATCCAAACGATGCAGAGAAGGAACAATTTCTGAATAGGCCCGAGGAGTTTCTCCTGGCTTGTTTCCCTTCACAAGTTCAAGCAACAAGTGTGATGGCTATTTTAGACGTTTTGTCAAACCATTCACCTGATGAGGAATATCTCGGGGAGAAGATCCAGCCGTACTGGGAAGAAGATAAGTATATAAGTGCTGCATTCAAACGGTTTAATGGGAAATTGAAGGAGATTGAAGGTATCATTGATGCTAGAAATGCAGATGGAAATCTGAAGAACAGATCTGGAGCTGGGGTAGTTCCATATCAGCTTTTGAAGCCATTTTCTGAACCTGGAGTAACGGGGAAGGGTGTGCCTAATAGCATTTCCATTTGATGTAAGAATGCTTTATATGAGCAAACTCCAAATAAATGTCTGCCGTGTGAATTTGGAAAAGGGAAAATGAATAAAAGTTACATTTATTAACACTTTTTATTGGATTTTGTAGATCAATTTTAGACATGCCTAGTGCCTACTTTAAGCTATATTGTTCGAAAAGCACGTAATTTATCTGCAGTCGGCATCATCTTGTTTAACATACCACCATGTATTAAGTTGATGGGGACATGAGCCATGTTGATCTAGCACGACACATTTAAACTTAGATGCACATGATCTTTGTAACAAAAATCATAGTGATATGGTCAGCAGAAACCCGATAGACAGATGATAATGGTGCTACAAATTCAAAGCCAGGAGGAAAAATACTACGGTTGTATAGTCCTATTCGATAATTTGATGTTAGAGGCTTGCATTGATAAAACTAATCCTTTATATGGTGAAAATAAGTAAATTATTGAGAAATAAGCAAAAGTAACCATATCCCATGTCTGAATATGCACGAAAAACTAGTTCCTTTTTCACCTTAGTAAAGGACAGAATTTTCTTGCATTTTGTACCAGACGTGTGAATTGCATGCTCTATCTTTTGAGAACAATTGTCCTTTGTCAAAAGTTTTCACCATCTTCCTTCATAAAATGTCACGTGACATTTTATTATTTAACTGTTTAAAAAATAGTCAACTTTTTGATCCAATCATTTGCCGTCACCATGATATCTATCAACTAGGTGGCCAAAAACAACTGACAAAGTGGGTTATTCCTATATTTGTTGTTGATTTGAAATCTGGTCAAACCCTTTGAATAAAGGATGTAGGCGTTTTCATGATAATCTAAAAAACAAGACTCGATTAGTGAGTCTGACCATGAATGGTCCCACTCTCAATTTAATGATCAAGTTAGAACTATATAGAATTAAGCTAAAAATACAAAATGTTCAGAGGGTTTGTTTCATATTATCTTGGAGTCAAGCGGTTTAGGAATATGTGTAAAATAGATGAGGGGTGATAGAAGACAAGTTAAATCAAATAATCAATGTCAAGTGTTGTGTCATGTCATATAGTTATACAAATCAATTTTTATCATGAATGTGCCAAGAATTTATGAGCGAGTAATAACTAGATAGAAAGCACTCATGGATCATGCGGCTAACATGGCATTCTACTATCGTCTAGTCGACTTTAAAAACTCAAAAGAGGAATATCAATTGCTTTTTGACTCTCATGGATTCTCATCTTAGTCCACACGTCAATCTCAACAATCTATTTGAGCATTCACATCACCTTATGTTTTGTTATTTTCTTAATTTTTCTCTCATAACTTTCTGAAAAATAGATTCACGTAATCAAACTCAGATAATTTGGGAATAAAATTATTTGTTGTTGTATTACGGCTCTTTCGCTTATCAGCTTTATCAGCTTACCAAGACCTACTCTCATGCGCACTCAACAATTGAATCTTACATTATGTTTCCTTCTATTTTTGCACTCAAGGGCCAATTTTCATTCGTCCCGATTAGGAAAAAGAGATACTTGTGGTGTCAAGCTAAAAGCATGTGATCTTTAATTCAGCTTAACTCTTTAAATATAGTAAAATGAACCTAGCTAAAAGTCATCTATGTTTTCCCTGTAATGAACAGAATGGGCCACATGATGTTTAAAGCTGGAATTGAACTGAGCAATATATAATGCTATATAATTATACACAAAATAAAATCAGAAACACACTAAGCAGTCACCTAAATTTATGTGGCCACAAGTTTTTTACTATAATGAAAAAGAAGTATACAAAGACCGAACGCCCTTCTTATATCAAAAGGGGTTTCCCCCTAAAATCTTGTATATATGGTAGGAATATCAAGTCGATCCATGGTCAATGAGATAGGTGAGAGTCTGATTAGGCTCCACAGGGTCCAACAAAACATTAGATAAACTGAAAATATGACAGCAAAATCCCTCCAACTTTTTACATCATATTAGTAAATAAGAAAACAAGAGATTCAGGGTGCATGATATTACTAGAATCACCAAGAAGAACAGAAAAAGGGAATCATCTGAACATCAGATTATTATTATCAATAATAAAATGGTACTAACGCCTCGCTTATGTCATTGCAACATCAAAATCCCGAGAGTATGATGATCCGAAAATCTTTCAAAATAAAGACAAATTCCTGATAAAGAACCAAAACTGAGGAATAAAGAAAGAACAAAGGTAGAGATGTACTAGGTCTCCATTCCAACAGCTAAAATAGTCTCAAATCCACACCTACTTCAGCAGCTCGACAAGGTTTATTTTTTCGCCTATTACGAGCTGGACGAAAGCCATTTGATTTATTCATGTCCTCAGTGCTTGATCTAGGCCCATTTTCATTTTCATTTTCATTTTCATCTTCAACTGAATCAGCTTTCTCCTTTAAGTGGCCGTCCTTTTTTCTTTTATTCCCATTCTGTGTCGAATTTGAACCTCTCATTTCTTTGTTCAGCATACCAGTTGTCGTATCCTCACTATATTCATCTCCTATTTTCTGTGCTTTGTCATCATCTATTTCGTCTTTAAGTGATTTCTGTGGTCTTCCCCTTCTCTTCTGTGCAGGAATTTTCTCTTCCTCGCCGCTCCCAGGATCATCCTGGTTAGCTACAGATAATTTCTTCCCCTTCACTCTACCCCGACCCATAATCTTATACCCCAGATAAATCACGCAAGCAATGGATGTTTCTGTGAAACAAAGTAGCCATAAAAATTAGAATAATGCTATATATACACCTCAAGATGTACACACAGTCTTTAACTCCCCTCACATGGAGGAGGCCCACACAAGTAAGGCAGTGTGTAAATGGTTATATACACGTATCATTGCCCAAAAAATTATTTATGAATTTCATGAGTATGTTTATAACCAATGAGGTCTTCATAACTGAACTAATCAAATATGAACCATTATAGGGAAAATTATTGTATATACGGTGTTAGATATTCTTGGAAAAATTTGGTAAGAAAATCGTTTTATATAAACGAATCCAACTAATTATGAAAATCACATGTTTGTAAGGGCAAGGAAGTGAACTTATAGTACATCATCATAATTGTTCCACCCATTTAATTCAAGTAGTCAATCAAAGGCACAAGAAAAGAGTTTAAAACAAGAACAGTAAGCTAATCCCTTTTCCCAATAGGCACAAGAGAAGAATATAAACACTACACTTTGTCGAAGAACATAATACAACATTGCATCATGAAATCACAAAGAATGGATAGTAAATGTTTGCTCAAATTTTCAGCACCTTATACACTAAACAGTATTAAGAATTTACATGCTCCGACATAAAGCAGCCTAGTGCTGAACCACTTCGTCTAATAGCTTAAGCTTTTCACATGTGGTGGTTTCAACCCTAAAAATGTACATATATAGGCCTTTGTTAAGGAAACGAGGGCACGTTGAACACGTTATTAAGAATTTACAAGCTCCAACATAAAGCAGCCTAGTGCTAAACCACCTCATCTAATAGCTTAATCTTTTACATATGGTGGTTTCAACTCTGAAAAATGTACATATATAGACCTTTGTTAAGGAAACGAGGGCACGTTGAACATGTGTCACTCGTTATTGGTTTAAGCCTTTTTAGACGAGGTGGTTCAATACCTATAACATATTCTACAACCATTGGATTAATGTGAAGAACCAATTTTACCATCCCACATAACAACACAAGGACTCCTAACTTGTACCAACATCAGAATCCTATACACAATTTTCACCTCTCCATCCTAGTTGGCCTAAAAGCTTGCCCCACATAGAAAACCAGATGCTCGCACTTGTTGTATGCAGTTTATAACACAAACTGAACTTGGACTTCAGTAGCAACCCATTAAACAATTGACAATAAAACACTAATCTTTCAATCTTTTTTCAGAAACAATGAAGATTAGATCCATGGAGTAATGAAACTATAAATAAACACACGGTTTTCAGGGGAAAAAAAAATCTTTCCCCTATTTAGAACCAAATAACAGTACAAAACCCACAGAAATTAAATAATTAAGAAAAATAAAAAAGAAATGAAACTCACCGAGAAACCATTAGAGAACTCACTAATATGAACCGAAACTCCTAAACCACCAAGCCCAGTGTAAATTTTCAATGCAAAGGTATCCAAAATAACTTGAAAAAAGATAAAGAAATGATTTTTATAGCAAAAAAATGTAATCTTGAATGAGATTATATAGAGCCCAGATCAAGAAACTTCAAAACTCAATAGAGGGATTCGACAAGATCAAGATTTCGCAATTTGTGACCCAAAAAAGTTTCATCTCACAAAACCAAAAAATGGGCAAAAGCCCAAATGAAGCAGAAGAAGAGCACACACAGATGATATTGAACAGTCTGAACACCAGAGAGACAGAGAGACTGAAGAGATATTTGTTTGGTTTTGCCAAATGTGTATGAGAGCAGTGAGAGTCTCAAGTATATATATCCTATGTTTGCAAACGAGTGTGCGCGTGTGAAGACTGAAGAGTCCAGCCAGGGCCCAGAGGTAATTTTGAGCAAACCCAGAAATAAGTTATGAATTTTAAGCAAAAGTTCAATTATTTAATATATAAGTTGTAAGATTACAAATTATATAAAAATGAGAAATTAAGTTTGTGTTCAACTTGTCTTGGCAAAAAATGACACAACACACGGTGTCAAGAAACATTTCACTGTTGTCAATTTATACGAAAATGGGTAATCAAGGTGTTCATTTTTTCTAGGTTTAACATAACCGTACAATCTTAAATATTTAATGAAACATGGATTATTAGAGACATTTTTTTCCTAATTTGAGTGTTTAAAAAACTCATTGTCTATAAGACTATTAATTTATAAGAAAATGAGTATTAACTTCCGCTCTAACTTTTCTAGTTTATAAGTGCATTTTATACACTTATTCAAACCAGAAACATGAATAATTGTGGGTAAATATTGAAATAGGGCTTAATTCTATATAAATTATGCTTTGCAGGACAACATCGATGAATATGGTGCAATTTAGGAGAAACAAGCGAAAATGACTAAAATGGAAGAAAATCAAAGTTTGGGAACCAAAATGCAAATAGCCAAAAGATGATCCGAAAGAAAAAACAAATATGTGAAAGAGTCGAAGACCATTTGAGAGAAAGGAATGAAGTATTGGAAAAAGAAGAAGCGAGAAAAGAGATCAAGAAACGAGAAAATGGAATTCAATAACTAAAACATAAAAATTGGATCTTTGCCACGATAGCATTGTTCATTTATCCATATGGTCGCATGGTAGGCAACGGGAGTTTTTAGGGCTGACGTTGATTGATCTATGCTATAGCATAATACATTTTTGGACGATTTTTTTTTTCTTTATATGACACTGACTCTTATGGAAAACAATATTTGGGACGTCTTGTAAAGACCTATGGTCGTCCATAAGTAGATTATCATGCATTACAACACATTAGAGAGCACAGAAGATGGTAAAAAACAAGAAGAAAGATTCCATGACATCAAGATCCAATTAAAATTTATAATTTGGGTGATGTCTACTCTATATAATTCTTGTTTTCTTCTTCATAATATGTTATGCTAGATTTCTACGTTAGGAGAACGATGAACTTTATAGTATGAATTTTTAATTTTTAAATTTACATATTTGACAATGAAAACACATTTTTAGACATTGTATAATTTATATGATTATATTTTTCACCAAATTATTGTGCACGGTAATTGTGTGAATTCGGTGACTTATTTTATGCATTCGAAAAAAGGAAAATAGGCTTGATATGAAGCAAATCGTCATAGGGTCCGACAGCAGATAGATATATACCGCTATATTTTATATGAATCTTTAAGTGTTCATAAAAATTCATACACTTTTGTATGTTTGCATCCGTCATAGAAAAATAATTGAGTCATAAATGAGAGTATGTTTAATATTACTCAAGAGAGATTGTTAAATAAAACAAGAACATTGATTTTTCAAAATTCAACCTAGTTGTCAAAGTGTAAAATTAAGGTCAAAAATGATTATTATATGGGAATTTGGGATCCTGATACGTTTGTCATTCATTAGATTACATCAAGTTGCATTTAGCATAATTTGCATTTAACTTAGTTAACTTACTCATAATTGCATAAATATGTTATGTTATTTTGTCACAAAACCAAGACAAAACATTACTTTCATTTTAGTTATGGTCATGATAATTAAAATTAAACTAAATCAATTCCTGTAGGATGATTCTTAGACTCAAATTCACTTTATTACTTGTTAACGAATTGTATTCTTACGATCATTTTAATTCGAAAGATATTTTCTTGAATACTAGGCAAATAATGCCATCTAATGCTAGTGGTGCTAGAGAATCAATTTAGGTGATAACACTTTATAGGTTCAATTAAATGATTCATGTGACATTACATTTAAGTGAATATATCATTTAATAACATGCAGTTATCACATAAACTAATGTTTAGCATCATTGGTATTGAATAGCATCTTTCTTCCTCGGCAAAACGAACCCAACTAGTGGCATCCCATACCCTCATCCAATATGCATCCACTTTCCCATCTGTCCTACTTCAATCTCCCGTCAACCGACACCTCATTTTTCTTCGTCTTTGTGTTTGCTCTTTATCTCTGCTCTGTCTCTATCAAGAAGGGGAACATATTATATTCATCTTCGGTGTATTACCATATCGTGTGCAAACACTTATTATGATTGTGCTCATATGTATTTTCTTCATAAATGGAATCATTAATACCCAATTTAGTACAAATTATCTATGGTTGCTTCTTGTCAAAGTAATTGTTTGGCATTGTGAGTCAAGTGTGTACATCCTATGTTGGCTAGTGTGTATGTTTTTTATGTGCGTGAAAGAAGGTGCCAAAGGTCCATGGTTAATTTCAGCAATCAAAGAAATTAGTTAACAATGAATTATGAGAAAAAGTTCTGTCGTAATGTAGCGATTGCTATGTATCAATTTATACGGAAATAAGTAATTATTGTTCAATTTTGTCCAATTCTATCATTGCTGTTAAAAGGAGGTTCAAACGATTAAGTGATTTTACAATAAAAATATGCAGTAAACAGAAATAGAAAACAAGAACTGAATAAAATGAAATTCATTCAACGATTGCCCTAAGGCAATAAAACCAAATCCTTTAAGCTTCTGTCATAGTAAGTAGCCACAAAGTGAAAATCGAAACCAAAGCATTCAAGGAGTACAGATCGGTGCACTCAGATCGTAATCACTCAAGATTACAAGAAATCAACCTTACCATCATTACAAATCGTTCCCTCAAGAACAAATCAGAATGCCGCTCAACATACAAATCATTCAAGAAATGTTTATCATCGAGGGATTCTCAAAAAAGAAGATTGAAAGACCATTTTTCTTTTGGTTGTGAAAAAGGGAGAGATGAAGAACTCAAGAGTCAGTTAGAGAGAGAAAATCAGATCTGCAGAATATGTTTAACCCTAGGAGAAAGCGTTAAATGGAAGTCACTAAAAGGCCAGCCAATCCAACGGTAAGTGGGGTTGACACATGGCAAGATCACAGGCCTTCATTCCATAAGAAAAGAAGCATTCCACAAAACATGTTTTTGTAAAATGTTTTCAACGGGGTTTTAATTAAAAAAAAAAAAACTTGAGTTTGCAACATTGTGCCACCTTTACGATCTCTACCTTGATACAATGATCCAGTTTCCAATTGTAGTAGCCACTTCAATCATGACATCATTAGCTCTTATGGTCTGATACTCAAATCAACAAGCATTGATGTTAAGTAAATTCAAACAGTCCAGAAACTTGTTTAGTGGCAACACCTTTGTCCCTTTTAATCAAATCCCTTTCTTTATAGCATTCGTAGTAGCTATATATTCTGCCTCGATAGATGATAAAACAACAATCTTTTGAAACTGGGATTTCCAGCTTATACAAGAATTACATAGAGTATACATATAGGCTGAGGTGGACTTCCTATTATCTCTATCACCCGCATAATCAGAATCAGTGTACCCCCTCAAGATGACACCATCAAATTGTTTTCTATATTGTACTCCCAAGTCACAAGTTCCCTTTATGTACTGAGAAGCTATTTCATGGCTTCCCAATGTGTTTCTCCAAGATTTGACATATACATACTCAATACACTTATGGAGTATGCTAAATTAGGTCTTAAGCAAACCATAAGATACATGATAGATCCTATAGCATTTGAATATGGCACTCTTGCCATTCTTCTAAGCTCTTCATCAAATTTAGGACACTGTTCACCGGAAAGTTTAAAATGGTTTGCTAAGGATAAACTGACACTTTTGCAATCAGACATGGGGCAAACTTTTCAAGTAGTTTCAAAACATAAGTTATCTGACAAAGACTTGGTGTGCCTTCTCTTATATTCCTTTTAATTTCAATACCTAAGATTTTTCTTACAAGACCTAAGTTCTTCATTTTAAATTCAGATTTCAGCTTGTTTTTTTATCAGTTCTATCTTGTTTATGTCATGATTGGCCAAAAGCATGTCATCAACATAAAGGAGTAGATAAAATGAATTTTCTCCACCACTTCCTTTACAATAGAGACAGGTATCAAAATTGCTTCTTTTAAACCCAAGTCCAAGTACAAAAGTATTAAATCCCCTGTACCATTGTCTTGAGTCCTATTTTAATCTTTACAAGGATTTTTTAAGAAGGCATACAAAATTAGATTTTTTATTTACTTCAAAACCTTTGGATTGTTCCATGTAAATAATTTCATTAAGATCACCGTTTAAAAAGGCTATTTTTTCATCCAATTAATCTAATTCCCAATTAAACTGTGTAGCTAAAGCTAGAATAACTTTAACAGTTGTAAATTTTATAACTGGAAAAAAGGTTTCATTGAAATCTACCCCCTCCATTTGAGTAAAGCCTTTATCCACAAGTCTGGCTTTATATCTGACATCACTGTGATTTCGTTCTCCTCTTTTAATTTTAAAGATCCATTTACAGTCAACAACCCTCTTTCTTTCAGGTCTTTTAGTTAAAACCCATGTCTTATTCTTTTTAAGTGATTTCATTTCATCTTGCATTACTGCAAGCCAATGATTGGAATCCTTACTATTTACAGCTTCTTCATAAGACTAAAATTCGTTTTCAATCAAACTTTGAAAGGTAAGAAGTGAAACTTCATCATAAAACCTAACATAAGGTCTAATTTGTCTTCTTTCTCTATCTCTAGCAAGTTGATAATCATTTAGAGACTGATTTACCTCCATATCAGCCTCAAATTCATGTTCTGAATCAACATTTCTTTGTGTTTGAACATCTCCATTATCAACCTAAATATTCGATTGTTGATGTTCAAAGTCAACTTGCTCCACCTCAATTTCAGTCCTCTATCTACATTACTAGTCTGACTTAAAGGTTCTGGGTTTGGTTCCTTTTTCAAACAAGGAAAATCATATTCA